GTTCAAGCTGATCATGGCAAAAAGTAAGCGCATGTTAAACGACCCGTATGGTATTCTGTGATGACAAGGCCAGGCTATGGCGATTCACAGTAGGAGTTCACGGTGTGTGTGTGTGTGTGTGTGTGTTTTAAATAGCCGGTCAAGGTAGGTTGGCAGACATAGACAGCTGGTCTTACACGCACAGTCTGTGTGTTTTTAGACAGTTTGATTTGATCGTTGATCAGATCAGTTGGTCTCGAAGTCCGCAGTGTATGTGTTCAAGCTAGGCTAGGTCTTTAGACACTTGCACACAGTCCACAAATGTTACATGTTATGTTGTATACTGTGTACTGCATTTATAAAAAGCGCAGCGGCCGAAACGATGCAGAGCAATCATTAGTAGCACCGTGCAGTAGTGTAAAAGCAGTAGGTAGCAGCAGCAGCAGCAGCAGCAGCAGTAGTAGTAGTAGTCGTAGCCGCGTGGCAAGAGGATAGCATTTGTTTAATAAAGTATAGTCTGAGTCGAGTCTATTGTATGATTTGATTCGAACATAATTATTATATGAGTCACGTGTTGTTTTATCATTGGCAATGGACTTTCCGCGTTCAGATGAAGAATATGTTGAACGATGACGATAATAGTAATACTATTACTATTACTATTTATACATATATTTATTATTGTTATGAGTTATGAATGATTATGATTCTGATTATAAATATATTAAATTAAGTTAAGTTAAGATTAAGTTAGGTTAATCAATTTATGATGTGTTAGAATCACCTTAGTTTTGTGATTTTATAAGTAGTTCCTGACGGTTCGGGACGGTTCAGGACTATCTATTACCTACATGTTTATAAATAGCGCCAAACGGTTCTGAACGGTTCAGGACGATATATAATTTTTGTTTATAAACAGCGCCAAACGGTTTCGGACGGTTTGGGACTATATATAAATTAAAATCATATATAGTCCTGAACGGTTCGGTACGGTTTAGGACTATTTATACAGCCAGACTATTCGGGACTATTTGGGACTATTTGGGACTATTTGAGACTATTTGGGTTTTGGTACCTATATATAGTCTAGAACGGTTCGGAACGGTTTGGGACTATTTATAATTGCTGCTAATATATAGTCCTGAACGGTTCGGAACGGTTCCGGACTATATGTAAAGGGTGGCAACTCTAGAAGTCAGTTCCAGCATAGACATAGACCATAAGTTAAGTTAAGTTTGTTATTTGTTAGTTTAGTTTAGTAAAAACACAAGTAGCAGTTGGGAAAGTTGGGAAGGACAACTGTAGTCAACTTGTGTGTGTGTGTTGCGATCTGTGTGTCACTTACTGTTGCTGTTGTAATAGTTTCAAACAAATGCCAAACGCTGAACATGCTGATGGCCCGCGATGTTGCCCTGGCAAGCTCAAGCCCACATCACAGCGCTAAGCTCAAATTCCCCAGCTCAAATCTGAGTATCTTGCGAAACGCGATTCAGACTGCACGCGAATGCAATCTCGGTTTCAATTTGTTGCCAAACGCCCGAACGTTTGGCCAATCGCGGACTTGCTAGCAAGGCCGCGTCTCCCACCCGGATTTCTGCAGACTGCAGACTCTCAATTTGGAGACTTGCTCACTCAACCACATAAATTATGATCCACTTTTCTGCCAGCAACGCCAACCCCCAACCCGAGTTTGCCAAGCTGCTTTCAGGACCGCGTGCTGGACGTCTAAGCTGTCCCTCTCCCGCTGGTTCAGCCTCTCCACCTGGCTCTGGGTCAGCGCGCTCGTGTAGGCCGGCTCCGCCTTGCCCACGTTGTAGAACCGGCGAAGGCCCGACACCTCCTTCCGGGCTTCAGCCGACTGCTTGCCGTCCTGCCGGCGGCCAGATTCTCCCCCAAGAGGAAAACATGAACGCTATAAAAAAAATCCCCGACAAAACTATTTGGGACTATATATAAAAACTCCGTTAATGAAAACCAAGCAAAGCTGTCCCTGGCGAAGGGGGGCTCAATCTGCTCCAGCTCCGTGATAGACCGCACCGCCTCCACGTAGGCCATCAGGTCTTGCAGCGTGGCCCCCGGGCGCATCTGTGCAGGCAAGGTCTCGGTAATCACCTGAGCCAAGCTGTTCATCCCAGCCACGTCAATCAAGGAGTCCCGCACCATGAGAATGAAAAGGCGGCTCCTGCTTTGCGGCAGCCCAAATTTTTTGGTCCTTGGTTCACACAGTTCCAAGCTCTTGGCCTTGCCAACAACACCAGCTTCCACGCAACAAGAGTCATGTCATAATGTAATGACTGATGACGGCTCATGCTGACTCATGCCTCTGACCTGAATCTGAATCTGAAGCAAAGGATCGCCTCTACACTTCGTCGCAAAACAAGCAAGCAAGCAAACACACAAGTTCCGCTTCATTTGCTTTTGTTGTGGCAACGCTGACACTATTTGCGCCACGCAGCGCACGCCAAATTTCAACCAAATTCAAACACTGGCAAACTGACAGACCCCATATCAGCAAACAGTCAAATAAAAAAGGCAGACAAACACACACAAACACACACACACACTGAAAGAATCAGAACCAATACCAAGCGTCTCCATGTGCAACACCTGAGTAACGTAGCCCGGGATCAGCTTCAAACCAATCTGCTCGCCGTCGCTCAAGACCCCCTCCATCATGAAGCGGTACGGTGACTGGCGCGTTGCGGTACGACTCAGAAAAACAAGATGAAATACTAGGAGGCTGGGCAGCTACTACCAGTAATCTTCGACTGAATCATTATTCATTGAGAGAGAGAATAACATGACATGTAACATGTAACATGTAACATGTGTGTTGAGGCAAGCAGTCAGTCAAACTCAAACAGCCAGTCAAACAGTCAACAGTCAAGCGCCCAACAGTCAATCACACAATGCAATGGTTGAAACGGCACCGTGAGCCGTGAGCTGGTTTCCCTCGCGTCACACTTTTTTGAACCGCGTCCATCCACACTGATGTACTAATGAACCACATGACATGATTCATGAATTCAATCATCATTTGTCACGCAGCCGCAGGCATCTACTGTATCTGAAATGTGCTGTGAGGCCTGTCACTGCGTGAGTAGGGCCTCAAGTATCTTTGTCGCCCAAGATGAAATCTCAACATCAACTGGCTTGCTTTTGCTGCCAGAAGGTCTGTTGCTGCAACGGTGGCTCTCAACAATGCTTTGCAGTTGCTGAATTGAGTGCTCGTGACCATCATTGTGTTTCTGAATGTGCTGAAAGGCGCAGTGTGCATGCAGCCAGCCAGGCGGCCGGACTCGTGAATAGTAGTAGCTGAATCGAACAGTTGACTTCTGGATCGCCTGTTTGCAGTGTAGGCATACGGAGCGCCCTGACGCTGCAAAGGCTGCTTCATGTAGGCCAGTGGATCCCGCAAAGAAAGTCGAAGAAGCCGGCAATGCTTTGCTTTGCCTGACAGACTCTGCAGTTTCGCTTCGGAGCCGGTCAGCTGTTTCCAGCTCCTCCGCGATTTTCTTCAGCGACTTTTCCTCCTTAGCAACTGTGCGAGAAATGGGTATCACCTCATCGCTTTCCTTGTTGCAATCATCGTCTGGCTCGTCCTCCCCAGAGTCGGAGCACTCATCACTGCTGCCAGAACGCGACGTTCCCTCACTGCCGCTTGCTGTGTCAACGGCGTGTTTTCGCTTCAGTGTCTTCGTTCCTTTGGCTTTGCTTGAAGCTGCAACTCTTCGTTGTCGGGGCTTGGAAGGCACCTTCAAACCAAATGGAAGTTTGTAGGGAATGGTCTTTGGCTTTTTTGGCAACGGACACGATGTTACTGGGAAGGCAGCGATCTGTGTTTCCGGGTTTGATTTCAGAACTTGGCCATCCAGAAATGCTTGACACTCCCAAGCCTCAATCTGGACTTCAAACTTTGAAGCATCGCCACGAACTGTTTGCAGGGCAGCCAAAAAAAGTTGATGCGACGTCAAAATGCGAGGAGCCCCCTCGGTCAAGAAAAGCTCAACCTCCTGATCAGTCACTGTAGCCTCAACCAAGGTTTGCAAGAACGGCTTTTTCTAAGATGTACGCTGCTTCTGCTTGCTGTCCAGCAAATGTGACGAGCAGCAGCATGCCAGACTTCACGCGATGCTGCTGAATGAGCTGCGAGAAATTGTAGACCATTTGCTTCAACTGCGGGAATACTGCAGCACGTTCGCACAAAAAAAAGCGGCATGGGTCCCACACTCCTTCACAGCTTTCAGTAGCATGTGTTTGCTCCTGGTCGTCACCCTCTGCAAAGCTTATCCCGCTAGCGCCCGTCGATGCCCCCCACTGCATGTGCAAGGTGTCTTCCAACCTTGCAGCAATTTCCTGGTCTGTGGCGACAGTGTCGATGAGCTCAGGCTTGAGAGCCCCTCCGCCTGATCAACGCAACGCTAGTTGCCGGCTGACGCCGCACGATGGTTCATGAATGTGGCGCTGGGGTGGCTAAGCAGATCACACAGCTCACACCCGCAATAATACCCATTTGGTAGCACGCAGTGGGCGGTGCACAAACAACACATCGTCCTGGCTAGACACGATTCCATCTCACAGATAAAACTAAACAACTTATATAAAACTGGCTGCAGACTATGACAATGACAAGTCAAGTGTGTTTCCGTGATCCAGGAATCCAGTCCAAAGTTTGTGTTTCACAAGTGGACTGAGTGTGGCCTAAGCCTGGCAAGCTTCCGATTGGCACCGAATCAAGATCAAAAGTCCGGTTCGTTTGCAGTCACGAGCCACAAGGGTAAAAACAAGAACCAGACCGCCAGCCAGCGAGTCGGCCAGTCAGCCGGTCAGTCAGTTTCCCAGTTTGTCAGTCTCTCGCTCCCTCTCTCTCTCTATCAGTCCGTCACTCTGTCAGCCAATCAGCCAATGAGTCAGCCAGTCTGGTCACTGAGTCAGCCAGCCGCAAACGAGGACAATGAAACAGTTAGAGCTCCCGCCCCCACATACATGTCGCACACAACACAGTGGCAAGTTGACAAGTGTTAAAGTGTGTTACGGTTGCAGACAAAGCTGCTGTTGCCGAGTTGGGTAGGCGCCGTCCACAGTTCATGGGCCATAAACGCATTCTTGTTCAGCGCAAGCCGCCGAGCGGAGAGCTTCTTTGCCGCGTTTCGCCACACCTCGCCCTCCTGCGCAGGCGCGGACGAAGATGAAGGCAATGGTGTTGCTGCCAACGCGTCCAGCTTGCTTTGTTGATGTTCTGCTTCAAGCTTGAAAGCGCTCTTGTCTTCTGGGCTCATGTTGCGCCACTTCTGGCTGATCTCCCTGATCTTGCTCTTGTACTGGTCACCGGTCAGGGCCAGACCCTCCATCTCGGCTCGCTGGAAAACATTCCAGCCACAAATCTTCCGAATGGATTTTGTAGTGGCTTTGACCAGGCGATCGCTCCGGTCAGATGGGGACTCCCTTGATGTGAGAAGCCGCCCCTTCTTGTCCTGGCTTCTGGCGACACGCACACGGACACACTCGCAACAGAAGGAAGACTATTGACAATTGACTCTGACCAAACAATCCCAGCAAACAATATATAACAATCGACCAGAGTCCACTTCTTTGCTGACGATCGCTCGAACACCCCCACAAACCAACAAGCAAAAACAAACCAAGCTCCCGGCGAACCAAAGCCAACAAACGCAAGCGGCCTTGCAATGGACTCATTTCTTTAGTGTTCCCCCTGACCCGTAGCCACCCAAATTGCGTTTGCCCTTCAGTCCTTTGTGTGTTGGTTGCTGGACCCCACCCCCACCATCTTCTGAATGCCAGACACGACCGCTTTGGAGGGCAGCGTGTCCTTGCTCACTGCTTCTTGGATCCAGGCATGTTGCTTCACGGCTGACTGGAGCAAGGTTGTCTCAGCCGCCACTCTCGGGTTCTTCACATTTTGGCTGCCACGTTTACTTGCGGACCACTGGGTTTGCCCGTTCTTGATTTCAACAGAATCTGAGGAAAGCGGGGTCCAGGTCGCAATGTCTTGAAGGATGCCTTGCACTTCTCTTCGGGCGGCATCCTGTTCCTGAAAAGGCTTGGACTTCAAGTCCAAAAACTGGCTCAACAAGATTGCTGAAAAGTCTGAGTCCAGACATTTTGAGCAGTTGGTTTTCTTGGCCTGCAGAGTCGTCCAGGCCTGCACGAAGCCTGCAGTGTCGAGATCAAGCAGGCCAAACAAACTCCAGGGTGGAAAACGGAACTCGTAGACGAGCCTGCGGTGCAAATCAGTCATACATACAATTACCAGCTGAAAAATCTGGTTCAAAAGAGCTGGATGTGCTTCCAATCCCATGGAGATTGCCTCTGTCAATCCGCGCTGCAAGAAATCCACATATTCCTTCACCAAAGTGTTGCCGAAATTGCCACTGACTGTGTGAAGGAACTTGTGCCGGGCCTCCTCTTGAAGCTTGCCGCACTGGGGATGGGAACGCCCCAAAAACCCAAGGTCATGGAGTATCTTCGTATGGCCCAACATATAGTTCACCCCATGCTCAATGGGCTGAATCAGCGCATCCACAGCCATGACGGAGCGTGGGAAACTGGGTTTGCTGATCTCCTCAACAACCAGCCGCCGCCGAACGCTGTTCTGAGCACTATAGTTCTTATTCATATCCAGCGCGTCTGCCAGGATGTGCTCAAAGTCTCCCGCAGTGTCAGCGCCATCATTTCCGGGTTGTCGAAAACTTGTCTCGGTCATCAGCGCATCAGCCAAAGTCGCGCACTCACTGCCAGGGTCAGAGCGCTGTGCCATACGCTGCAGAATGCGCGGAAGCATTCGAAAAAAACAGCAACCGAAGCTCACGAACGAGGAGGCTGGGCCGTACCCTTTCATTCTGTAAAGTAGTGGCGTCTCATAGCCCCTACTGAAAAATGGAACTGCGTGAGAAAGAAATTTGCACAGTGCCTCCTGATCTGTGTTGCAGCAAGCAGGCTTGTCCGCAGAGCCCATCAAACACCAATGCACCACAGTGGAGCTGGTCGTATCCCCGTTTGCGAATGCAATCATCTCACTCAAAGAGCTTGCTGTGTTCTTGCTCGTTGTGATGAAGCCCCGCATCAGCCACTCGCTGCGCTGCCTCCAAAGGGCCATGTCCTCCGGCAACTCATAGACTGGTACTCCTCGGAAAGAAGGCCGAACGATACCAACACCAATGCTAGTTACCGTTACAGTTACAGTTTGCAGGTTACCGACAACCGACAACAAAAAGGAAGCTGGTTTCCGTTTTGCAGAAAACCCCTCGAAGTACTTAGTCTAGTGAGTGACCAATGGACGTAAGCGTTCTTAACGCCGCAACCCATGAAGCGCTCTGCTCTCGTCAATCACCAACAACTCCAGCAACGGGTGCTGACTCGTAACGAAGCAGCATGCAACTCTAGCTTGTTGCGATGCCGCCGCCAAACTATCTGGAAGAATGAACTAACCCCTGGCCCTGAACTATCTGGACTTCGACTTGGAGCCTGCAACTATCTGGAAGCTATCGAACTGAAGGAACTGCTTGTGGAGCCAGTTCGAACTTGTCGAAAGAATGCTGGAAAATAAAGGTGCAATTGAAAAACAAGTCAGAACAAACAGGAAAAGAAGGTGCTCTCACCCCTTCCAAGCCCCCAAGCCAAGGCTCGAACGAACTGCCCATCTTCTTGAATCAGCGCCACCAGTGCAGTTGCCAGGGCTCGCCGAAAGGAGTGTGTCTCCATGAGATGACCCAAGCGAACTATCGTCGCCCACAGTCTTTCAATGGCTAACACCGTCGGCTTCCTCACCAAACACAGCTGATGATTGCAACATTTCAGCCGCATCCCAATCGAACCCTCAGCAGCGTCCCGATGCCGTCTTTCCCTCTCCACCCGCCACGCTGCATCGTTCGCTTTCAACGCGTCTCCAATCATAACACTGGTTCGCCATTTGACGGAATGAAGAAGGTCGCGCGCGCAGCCCAAGCTTTGCCAAGTCTGCCCAGGCCCGGATGCCGTAACAAGCAACCACGAAGTGAGTGCATGGTGTATGGCAGATGCCTTGCTGGAGTTCAAGCATCGCAGGGGAGTTGGAATGTGCAGGCTGTCCCATACTCCATCCGTAAACCTGATGTATGCAAACTGGAAGGTGTTCATCACAGTGTAGACAATGCTTCGCCCAGCATTTGGGGCCCTGAGCTTGGTGCTCGTGTCGTCAGCAATGCAGGTATTCAGGATGTGCTCGGCGTCGCCTCTCTGAAAAAGCGAGACAACAGCAGACTTGAGACCCGCCAGAAAACTCCAAACGCACCGAGCTCGCTCTCTTGCAAATTGCTGCTTGACATCGTTGAAGTCGTTTGCAGGGTCGCAGCTTGCCCTTCGGTAACTTCTCTGATACTGATGCGAAAAAAATCCCTTTTGCAGGCGCTCAGCGTATGTTGGCGCAGGCATAGTCGCATCACCGGCCCCTTGCTGCTTCGCCTTCTTGACAGCCTTGGCCAAACGGGCTGGCGCCGTTTGCAGCTTTCGCTTGAGCAAGACGTTCACAGCAGCATCGTTATCCCTGGCAGCTTCTGCCGCTTCTCTACCATCATCAGACTCATCAGACTGCTGGTCATCATCATCATCATCACCACTCTCAAAGTTCTCGTCAACGTCGCTTTCGACATGGCTCCACAAGTCTGACAACGGCATGACGTGAGCTGGCCTTCAACCGCCTAAAACGCACCGAAGAACAACACACTTTTCGGCCACTGCGCTAGATGAGGTTGATTTCATTGATTCCCTTGTTTCCTGCACAGCTACACATTAGTCTTGCCAGGCAACAAGAAACTTCTCGATTTGACAGTGACAGGTGACAGGGGCCCTGGGTCTCGAACTTGTTCAATCTCCAATTCAACTGGGCAAACATTCATCTTCTGAAATTGAGCTCGTTCTGCGAGCCTGATCGGGTAGTCCAAAAACAGCCGCACGTTCAACCAGAATAAGAGAAGCGCAGCGTGCGAGCATTTTCTCAAGTTCCTTGGTTCAGCTCCACATATCAAAGTTCAAAGATCAAAGATCAGCTAATCCATTATCATCTGATTTGATCCCAGCAAAGATCCAAAACAAACGTTGCAAGCCGCATTTTTCTCTCGGGCCCAGGACAACAATTCGAGAAAGGACGGGTCATGTTTAACAAACTGAACAGCGGCGTTGGATTAGTTGTGGTTTCGTGCCTGCTGCAAACTCGACGTTCCCTTCCTTCCCTGCAACATGAATGTCTTCAGAAGTGGCGAGGGTTTCGCATTGCTCGTTGGTGGTCTGTTTGCTTTCGCCCAGACTAGAAACCGGTAACCTGCCTTTAAAGGGCAACTACAATTTCTCGTCTTTCAGCACCCCTCACACGTTCCCTACTGACGGATGATGACAGATGCTTTTCTACTTTTTTTAGTTGCTGGCTTTAAAGGACAAAATGCAGAAATACATCTGTCGCTATGCTCGCAGCTTACACCTGAACCAGCCTGCAGCCTGCCGCCTGCCCAGTCAGCCTCGTAGGCCTCGAAGAAAGGCCCCTTGCAGCTGGCGGGAAACTTGTCGAAGATGCTGTAGACCTGCGACAAACAACAAAAGGCTAGGCTTGTGTTGCTACGTGGACTGTTGGCGATCTAAGTCTCCCTTCCTCTCCAGTCTACAGTGAGTCGTTCCAGTCCCAAACATTGCTTTCCCGACCCGGCCCGACCCCACAGCGGCGCGCCTCCTCGATGATTGCGACCGGCGGTTGTTGTCGTCCTTGGCAGCCAACGTTCAGCCCAGTCTGTTCCAAATCAGCGAGCTACCAAGCGATCGCAAACTTTGCATGGTAGCAGCTAGCATAGCAAGCTTAAATTTGCTCAATTGTAAAGGACCTCGCCTAGCAAGTGCAACCCAATGACGTACCCAATTCTTCAATCATCCAGGAATCATCCACCTATCTGAACTCGATCCCCCTTCTAAGTCCATGAAAGCGGCTCCATCTGATGTAAGGAACGGGTTGAAGTTCGCCTTACGCTTGAGGGTACTCAAACGCGAGTACGGTTGACATGGTGGACCGGCCGCGTAGATGTCCTGTCAAGCTCGCGGGTCGGATCATGTTTCCCGAACGTCTTTGGTGAACCCCTCGGTACTCTGCCTTTTACATTACCCCGAGCCGTAGCCTTGCTGCTAACCTTTGACTGCTAGCCTTTGACTGTTAGCAGTTAGCCTCGCACAACCCCTGTCCTCTACCATAATGTCTTCGGCGCATGATCCACGCTGGCCTTGATGAAGTAGGCAAGGGCCATGACCACGCTTGTCAATGCCAGCGACTTCGTTGAAGATGTGCTGTACTTAGCCCAAACGCGGGCGCGATGACAGATGACCTCCCACCGCTACTACACCTCAACCCCGGTCTCCCCCTTAGGCCCTTAGGCAACTACTTCCGAGCCAAAGATTTGGATTCAAAAAACATACACAGAATTATCGGAATACTACAACTAGTACCAACTTCAGCTGGGTTATAGTGTGTGCAAGTCCACCGGACAGCCAGCCATGATTAATGATTCATGATGATGATGAGATGATGATGATTCGATGTTGTTGGTGATGGTGATGGTGTTGATGATGATGATGATGATGACAGACATGTGACATGTGATGGCATGTGTGCTGTGTGCGTGTGTCACATGTGACATGTGACATTCTGATTTGACATGTGACATGGCATGATGATGATGTTGATGATGATGCTGATGATTGGTTTTTGGAATATTCTAAGATGTGACAGACATGTGAATCCGGTCGGTGAAATGAAACTGCAAATTCTGAAAGTCCCGATCTCTCCACGCTCAACCCATCCCAGCGGCCCTGGCCAGAGTAGTTTGTCCGGATGAACCGCCGCTTCATCTCGCTCATCTCCATGCAGGCTGCAGTGCGGAAGGAGAAGGAAAGCTCGGCCCCAATCTCCCGCCTCGAGTTGACAAGTCCGCGCAAAAAAACTGTGTTTAAAGTGTGTGTGTGTGTGTGCCTTTGTGTGAGTTGCTGCCGGGTCCCTCCTTGCCTCTCCCTCTCCCTCTCTCTCTCTCTCGCTGTCTCGTTTCGGGCCTTAAGGACAGCCCAAGCCTAAGAAAGCGAAGTCTAGGTTGACACTAAGTGTGACCCGACTCGGGCTTTGAGTCAAAGCCTAAGTCAATGCATCATCACAAATCTAAAGAGCTGGAAATTGGTCAAAGAAACGCTCGTTTGCCTTCTGCCCAAACCAGCTGCTGACAAGGCTCATGATGTACGTGCCAGTTGCTGCACCAGCGCATCCCTCGACCAAGGAAAGCCTAGGCTGCTCTCATCCACCAGCTGTTGGTCACAGTATCCAAGTACAGTATCACGCACCACGTATCTGTATGTGACATACTGCGTGTCTGTGTGTGTGTGTGTCACTGTGTGTCATCATGTCACATGTCAGTAGTCAGCATGTACCAGCCACACAGCAAACCTTACCAACACCTGAAGAAAAACGAAACCAACTAACTGACTGGCTTAGCCTGCCTAGCCTAGCTGCCTCACAAGCAAACCAACTAGCCGTCCAGCCATCGCCGCTTTAGCCTCATCTTCCCAACCTGCGCCTGCAGCCAAGCAGCACAGCTCGTTTGCGCAACGCAGCGGGAGCACATTCCAGGTTGAGGGCCTTCTTGTACAGCTCGGCCCATTTGAAGCACTTGAGGGCTGGCAAGATGGCCCTTAGTAGGAAATCAAACGAATCTAATCTAATCCAACAGTCAGTAACAATGTATGATGAAGTATGAACACCCATAATATCAACTCCTCAGTTCCGCCCAGGATGCCATCATAGGAACTCTGAGTCACCCAAATAATAGTAGCAGCCAAAGTCTCTGCGTCTCATCTTCTTGGCGCGACATGGTCTACCACACCCAAGCTCTGCTTGCACGTCCTGCTGTCCTGCCTGTGCTCTCTTGCCATGCTCTTGACATGCTCTTGCCATGCTCTTGTCATGCCAGCGCCCCTCCAGCAAACATGGCTGTGGGCTGCGCGCGTGTCTCTTGCAAAATCCCGCCAACCCTTAAGAAGTGATCTGCATCAAAGCTTCTTTTCTTGGCCCTGCACACTTTCAGGGTTCCCAACCAGAAGCCTCCAATACACCCTGACCAATTTATAAATAGTTCCAAACCCTACACCAGTGGGCAACAGACGGGCCAAATAAAGAGGCCCATGCACCCATCAAGAAAGGGCGAGATTGTGGGCTACGCCTCGGCGCTGCGGGCCGTGCGCCAGCTGCAAGCATGTCAACCTCCCCTCCCAGTTGCAGCAGAGCTTGCAGAGCCAAGACCACTCGCCGCACCCTCCGCAAAGAATCAGCAAAGACCTGGTGCTTGGACCGAGCAGGACCTGCGGGTGAAGGCCAATGTGGTCCCTCAGGCGTGGGTGCCCCTCTGGGTCATGAGCGCCTCTCAAGTCAAGAAACATGACCGGGCCGTCGAGCGCCGCATGCAAACAGACCATCAAAGCCTCTTCTGAGATATCCGCGTGCCGGGCACTGTCTGATTTGAGTGTTTGCATGGCTGTGACAACGGCGGGTCCCTGACTCGCTCTTTCAACAAAGCAGGCAAAACACTGCTCAAGTTGATTGTCCCGCATGTGATTATGCGAAGCTGGCATTCTGGGAGAAAGCCGTCCGGCACGCTGGCTGGAACTCCCCCATGCCCTCGGAGGCGGGGCTGCAGCTGGGGCCGGGGAACCACCACCGGCTTTCAGGGGCACTACGGCAAGCCTGACTGGCACCATGCCACGATCAGCGGACAACCTGCCAGCAAGCACTGTCGCCCCTCACCACCTGG